ATCGAAATCGGGAAATATAATCGACCCGTATTTTTGGCACTCGGGCTGCGGCCGCACTTTGAGCGTCACTTCAGTGATAACACCCAGCGTTCCCTCCGAACCGAGTATGAAGTGATGAATGTCGGGTCCGGACGATATGCGGGGCACCTGACAGTTGCGCTCAACGGTGCCCTTCGGTGTCACCATTTTCACGTGAACCAGAATGTCTTCGATGTTGCCGTAAATGTTTTTCTTCATACCGGACGCCCGGGTGGCCACCCATCCGCCCAACGAACTGAACTCGTATGAGTCGGGCTCGTGTCCGGTGCAGAGGCCGTGTTTGGCTAACTCTCGCTCGAGATCCTGACCGAAAATGCCGCACTCGATGTGTGCGGTCAGGTTCTGGTGGTCGACCCATAAGACACGGTTCATCTGCGAAGTGTCCAACGAAATGATCATTCGGTTCTCGTTTTCTGGACATTCAAGAGCGCCCGAAACGCTGGTCCCGCCGCCGAACGGTATGACTACGACATTGTGATCGGTGGCCAACTTGACAATAGTCACCACTTCTTCGTGCGCTTTGGGCCAAACGACTAGATCGGGAACTCTTTTGAATTTGTCGCCTCTGAGCGTAAATATTTCGTGCAAACAGTGGCCGTGACTGCGGAACAGTCGATCGCTGGCGTCAAACGAGTGGGCGATCGACGTCTTCAGCAGATCGTTCATCAGCTGCTCATTGACTATGGGTTTCGGCAAATCCAACGCTTCCGACTCTGACTGTTAACAATGAAATGTGATATTAGTTTAGCCGTCAAATGGCAATAATGACGGCTCAAGACCTGTGAGTAGAAGCGCTTCTTGAGATCAACGCCAAGGGCTGTCTCAACCCATTGACTAAAAAGTGGCAAATTTTGACTCCCGATGCGATACCTTTCGCCCGTAAAACTGAACATATGATTCTTGTGGTCAAATTCAAACTTCGAGTCCTTATATCCCCATCCGTTCCACTTCAGCAGCGACTCACTGGCCGTCCGAAGAGACAATTCAATGGATCAATTGGTAATCAAATCAATGGATAAATACAGTGATAAAATACATACCGTTTCTTCGGTATACTAGAGGCGGGTGAGCTCTGGTCGGCGCCGTTTGCGGCCAAATGCCTGGCAATAGTGTTGATCCTGTCCTTCGCCGCTGACATTGTGCTTGACTTAATGGGTTTGGGAACCGCTGTCTTCGGGCAGACAATCGATGGATAACAGGGAGAGTGAGAGAGAAAGTGTGAGGGAGTAGTAGTTGTGAACACAATGTGAGACTCAAATGCAGTGACTGTAGAGATAAAGGCTGTGATTGTTATTGACTACCAGTGCCTGCACTACACCTACACTACAGACTACTCACACATCACTCTATTATTTGTCAATTCATTGATTACAACACTTATAATGAGATTATTATGTGATATAAAGTGTTATAATAATTACAATCCAATCAAACCGTAAGCCATAGCTATAGGCTGTGAGTATAGACTGGAGATTACAATAGAGTTAACTAACAGTAAATTACAATTTATTGATGTTTTTTCAATGCATTTTGTGTTGTCATAGAAATCAATGCTATTTTTAAAGGGCATTCAAATCGCATAGACTTTTAAATCGTATGAAAACAATGTTTTNGTAAAAAATAAAATGTTTTTTCTTTCTGTAAACAAAATCTCGTATCAAATGAACTGATGTTTAAAAATAGCATTTAATTTGCTTTCAATGACAACAATAAACACCGCTTTAAATACAGTTTATATTATTGTATATAATATTTGGCCACAAATTCCTTCACTTAAAACACGTGTAAAATAGTAATAAAAATTACAAATAATTAAAAATACAAAACAATCAAAACATTGTTTTCATACGATTTAAAAGTCTATGCGATTTGAATGCCCTTTAAAAATAGCATTGATTTCTATGACAACACAAAATGCATTGAAAAAACATCAATAAATTGTAATTTACTGTTAGTTAACTCTATTGTAATCTCCAGTCTATACTCACAGCCTATAGCTATGGCTTACGGTTTGATTGGATTGTAATTATTATAACACTTTATATCACATAATAATCTCATTATAAGTGTTGTAATCAATGAATTGACAAATAATAGAGTGATGTGTGAGTAGTCTGTAGTGTAGGTGTAGTGCAGGCACTGGTAGTCAATAACAATCACAGCCTTTATCTCTACAGTCACTGCATTTGAGTCTCACATTGTGTTCACAACTACTACTCCCTCACACTTTCTCTCTCACTCTCCCTGTTATCCATCGATTGTCTGCCCGAAGACAGCGGTTCCCAAACCCATTAAGTCAAGCACAATGTCAGCGGCGAAGGACAGGATCAACACTATTGCCAGGCATTTGGCCGCAAACGGCGCCGACCAGAGCTCACCCGCCTCTAGTATACCGAAGAAACGGTATGTATTTTATCACTGTATTTATCCATTGATTTGATTACCAATTGATCCATTGAATTGTCTCTTCGGATGGCCAGTGAGTCGCTGCTGAAGTGGAACGGATGGGGATATAAGGACTCGAAGTTTGAATTTGACCACAAGAATCATATGTTCAGTTTTACGGGCGAAAGGTATCGCATCGGGAGTCAAAATTTGCCACTTTTTAGTCAATGGGTTGAGACAGCCCTTGGCGTTGATCTCAAGAAGCGCTTCTACTCACAGGTCTTGAGCCGTCATTATTGCCATTTGACGGCTAAACTAATATCACATTTCATTGTTAACAGTCAGAGTCGGAAGCGTTGGATTTGCCGAAACCCATAGTCAATGAGCAGCTGATGAACGATCTGCTGAAGACGTCGATCGCCCACTCGTTTGACGCCAGCGATCGACTGTTCCGCAGTCACGGCCACTGTTTGCACGAAATATTTACGCTCAGAGGCGACAAATTCAAAAGAGTTCCCGATCTAGTCGTTTGGCCCAAAGCGCACGAAGAAGTGGTGACTATTGTCAAGTTGGCCACCGATCACAATGTCGTAGTCATACCGTTCGGCGGCGGGACCAGCGTTTCGGGCGCTCTTGAATGTCCAGAAAACGAGAACCGAATGATTATTTCGTTGGACACCTCGCAGATGAACCGTGTCTTATGGGTCGACCACCAGAACCTGACCGCACACATCGAGTGCGGCATTTTTGGTCAGGATCTCGAGCGAGAGTTAGCCAAACACGGCCTCTGCACCGGACACGAGCCCGACTCATACGAGTTCAGTTCGTTGGGCGGATGGGTGGCCACCCGGGCGTCCGGTATGAAGAAAAACATTTACGGCAACATCGAAGACATTCTGGTTCACGTGAAAATGGTGACACCGAAGGGCACCGTCGAGCGCAACTGTCAGGTGCCGCGCATATCGTCCGGACCCGACATTCATCACTTCATACTCGGTTCGGAGGGAACGCTGGGTGTCATCACTGAAGTGACGCTCAAAGTGCGGCCGCAGCCCGAGTGCCAAAAGTACGGGTCGATTATATTTCCCGACTTCGATACGGGAGTGGCATTCATGCGCGAAGTGGCCAAACAGCAGCTCAAACCGGCGTCCGTTCGGCTCATGGATAACGAGCAGTTCATTTTTGGTCAGTTTTTCCCCGCTTTTGGCGACTATTAATTAATGTGATGTATGTTTTGTGTGTCACTCTTCAGGTCAGGCGTTAAAACCGGGCGCCGCGTCGATACTGCAGTCAATAGTGGACGGGTTTAAGAAGTTTTACGTGACAAAAATCAAGGGCTTTGATGTCAACCAAATGTGTGTTTCAACGCTTCTCATGGAAGGCAATAAAGAGGACGTCGAGAGACTCGAGGAGAAGATAATAGCGATTGCGGAACAATTGGGAGGAATGTCTGCCGGAGAAGAGAACGGACGGCGAGGATATCTACTGACATTCGTTATCGCATACATTAGGGTTAGTTTTAACTACAATTAATTAAACTTTTTAAATCTAAATCTAATCTTTTTACGTTGTGTTTATCACTAGGATTTGGGATTAGACTATGGAGTGGTCTCCGAGTCGTTCGAGACATCCGTGCCGTGGGATCGGTGTCTGGATTTGTGTCGTAATGTTAAGGAACGGCTCAATAATGAAGTGAAGAAATACGTGACCACTAAACCGGCGCTCATCACGTGTCGCGTCACTCAGGTATCATTACAATCAACAGTCAATGTCTTTATCACTCAATGGATATCTTTGCTAACCATTGATGTCTATTTGCACGCAGACCTATGACGCGGGCGCCTGTGTTTACTTCTACTTCGCGTTCAACTATCAGGACGGCATCGCCGGCGGAGATCCGGTCCACGTATACGAGACCATTGAGACGGCGGCCCGAGAAGAGATCATTGCCACGGGTGGCAGTATATCCCATCACCACGGGGTCGGCAAAATACGTAAGCAATGGCTCGAACAGACCATATCCAACGTAGGCCTGGGTATGCTAAGGGCTGTGAAGCAATACGTCGATCCCGACAATATCTTCGCCAATGGAAACCTCATGAGTTGATGGCCATCGCGTTGACTGTCAGCCCCCACCACATACCCAACCCCTTCTCAACCGATGCAACTGTTCTTCTGTCGCAACCATTTTACGTGTCTTTGAATACAATTTCAAAGCATTAAAACGATTGAAAATTTTCAACTAATTTATTTGTAATCACGAAACGGACATTAATTTTTAGTATTTTCTACATTTTTGATATAAAATAACTTATTGTACACTTGTTTTGCCACAAGAGAAACACAACAACTAATTTGTAGTATTAAGTGATTTAGAGTTAGAAAAAAGTTTTTTAATCCAATTTTATTTTTTTAGTTCCTATTCTTGTAATGAATTGAATACATAATTAATGATAAAAATAATTGTATTTTATTTGTTTCAGTCATTTGAATGTCTTTCGAGGGCTTTTGAAAAGTATTATTAGTTTAATTAAAAGTCCATTTAATGGACTGAAAATCCAGACATTAGACGTCACTAATTATTGATAATTTAAAAGTATTTAATTGATCGATAATTACCATAAATTAAATGTATTAATTGCCAAAATGATTACATAATTACTTAAATACAAAATTTTGTTGATTATATTTTTATTACTTTATAAGTAAAATAAACTGCTTTTAAACTATAAAATCGTTTCATTCAAACTGTTAATCCCTTTCGTTTATTAAAATCAAACGATAAATCCTTTTCAAACAGTTAAACCGTTAATACAATACACTTTACGATGAATTGCAACCAAAACTAATAACTCGTTTTTCAATGGAAAAAAGGTAAACCTTTTTGATAACAATCAAGTGATAGAAAGTGATGAAAGTTTTACTTTTAGTTTTTCTTTTCATTTGTAATACAATACCATTTATTTGTGTGCCATTTAAAGGCATTACCATTTCTAAGCAATTAATTAGTTAATACTAGATATTGTTTTATAACAACCGCAAAGACTTCAAGTATTTTATTATATTTTGTTAATAATAATAAAACTATTTATTTGATTTTGATATAGCATTTGCCACTTCACGCTTTGCTTCAATATCTATAACAGTAATTAAAACTCATTCAACTGTCGATTTTGCCCATCCTTTCAGTGGTATTAAATTTGCGATGGATTTGAATAAGAAAAATACAAATAATTTTCATTATATGTAAGTATTTAACAATTTTATTTGCATTTATATACAAATGTATATTTTTATGAAATTAAATATTATTTTTTTAGCGCAAATGATTTGCTAATTCACGGGCGATATCTCCAGTACTCGAGACAATCGTCATCCGAAAGGTCTGTATTGTGTGTCAAATATATAGCAAATTAACGATAATTTGATTTTATGATTGATTAGGGATTCAACGAAGACTGACTACACGTACGCTCAGAGCTATAGCTATAATCGACGTAAAGAGCGGTCAAAGCTGTTTGACTGGTCGGTGCCAAACATGTCTCGTAGAAGTATCAAAAACTCTTCGTCGGCGAAGAGCGTGTCCTCGAAGTCCGCGGGTATTGTGAGTCCAAATTCAGATCAAGGACTTGAGCCAGAGATCGGTAAATATTACTATTGATTGTCTTGTCGTTTGAGTTCTTAGTCTAAATCATTTTTTAATTGGTCACAGAATTCAGTGATGACGAAGACTATGCAATGAATAACAGATTAAATCATCAAATATTTGGTGGTAATCAACACAAAGGCTACAGAATCTTGAGGAAGAATTCCAGACAACTCTACGACTACAATGTCTACGACAAAGAGGCGATGACAGCCTTCAAAATTGTGACCAATATATTTAAGACGACAATCAATAGTACCTCAAAACTGATAGATTCTGTGACACCACCTGTGCTGAAACGAGTCCACAATAAGTGCCCTTCGCTTTGCCTTTTCATTCTTTTGTTGCCATTTCTCGCGGGTTTCGTATACTTAATGAGTCAATACAAGTCTAGTCCCAACATATTGTGGTCGTCGTCCGCGGCGTTCAGTCCATTGGATTGTCTGACGATTGGCGGCGGCGGTGGCAGTGATATGGCCTCCAAACACGCCATCAATGAATTGATTAAAGAGATGAAAACAATTCGTTACGATTTGCAGAGTTTGAAGGATTCAAACAACGCTTTTACGGAATCGATTGAACACAAACTGATGACAACTGCTGATCGGCTTGAGATTCAGATTACAACCGCTAAGACATCTTATGATCAGTCGTTGAACTTAATTAACGCTGACATCAACTCACAGATAAGTCAAGCGCTGGCCATCTATGACGCCGACAAGACTGGTCAGCACGACTTTGCCTTAGAATCTGCGGGTATTGTAGATTTTATTTGGTTTTTATATTGAAAAATACATTTAGTTTAACCGTATATTTCATTTTATCTTAAGGCGGAGCTATTGTCAAAACTCGCTGTTCCGAGTCTTTTAATCCTTACGGCGTTCAATACAAAGTGTTTGGTATACCGTTCTGGAGCTCATCGGTGAGTCCGCGGGCCGTAATTCAGCCGACAATAAGTCCGGGCGAGTGCTGGGCGTTCAGGGGATCCAACGGCTATTTAGTGATAAAACTGTCGCAACCGATACGTCCGACCGGTTTCTCCTACGAACACATTCCCAAACAGATCTCCAGAGACGGGAACATCGATTCCGCGCCCAAAGAGTTTCAGGTCCGGGGCTTAGACTCCGAGAGTG